CTCGGCGTTCTACTTGCGATGAGGACGAATGCGAACTGATTTCCAGCCGGTCGGAGTGTTTGACGTATCAAATATTAGCAATGAAAATAAAATTGTTGTAATAAATTATTAATAATAAAAGAGATGAATAGATTGATTAGGAGTATTATTAAGTAGTTAGATAATTCAGAACTGAAAAGTTTAGAACGACACTTATTCTATAATGGACGTGCAAAGCATGCATATAAACTAAATTTAATATATATCATGAAAATAAAAGTTAAATACAAGTAATAAAAATACTTTTAAATATTACTTTAACATTAATCTATATTCACTCAAAGTGCAATAATGAGTGTACTAATTATTTATCTCATGTGCATCACACGGCTACATACTAGATTCTATATTAAATTATTAATACATAGCTATGTAGAGATGAGATTTTGAAAAAAAAAAATGATATTTTATATTCAAGATTTCATATTGACTAACTCAATTTAATGTAAAACTTATACTACTTAGATATTGAGAATTTGGTAAGTTAGTCCACCTTATGATTAGGGATGACAATGGATCAAGTTCGAATAAGTCCCAAACTTAGCTTTTGACTCTGTGGCGGGTCCACTAAGATGGGTCAATGACTAGGCCCATTTCGAACATTGGTCAACTGCCCTCAACCAACATTTTTAAAAATTCACTAAATAAATTTTAATTTATATATATGGGCATCTCCAACAATGCACCAACATTATACCACCTTCTCATCATTCCACTATCAATCATCTTTTTTACATTTTCTCATCCAACAACTTTGCACTCACTACCCAAATAATCTTGGACCCACAACTACCCCACCATCACTATCCCACTTTTACTAAATTAATGAATACAAATATACAAATATATAATATCCCATTTTTACCAAAGGGCCCCATTTTTTTATCGTTGAAGGCAGAAGAAACGGTGTAAAACTTTACACCTTCTCCACCAATAAAGCCAAGTATAATTCTGACATTGAACTTACATTACACCTTTGTTGGAGTTGCTCTAATGTTAAAGATATTATTTTATATTAAATTAAACTATATGAAATTTACATGTAATATTGTATATAATATTACTATATATACACATACAGTGTCGGGCCGGGCGGGGCCAGAGGTGTGTAGTATATGTACCTGCCCGTTTTCGAAAACGAGGTGGGTCGGAGGCTGCAGGTCAAGCCTGGGCCCACCCTAGCGATTTAGGGCTAGTCCTAACGAGCTTCGGGATAAATGGTCTGGGCCTAAAAAACACGAATTTAAACGGCCTACCAACAAGGACTTAACCCTGAACCTAGCGGCTTCAGGATAAACGGGCTATAATAATAATAATAAAAATAAAAAACTACAACACCTAGTTAACGGTTTTTTTTCAACGGCTATTTAGTATTTACCACTATATATATACAACTACATTTCATATATGAACACACATTACAAACTCTTAAATAACATATTATTTCTCAATAGAATTTTTTTTTTCGAATATTACTTATAACTATCATTTGACTAGTGATTTGGTACGCTTCGAGAATTTTCACAATATAGCATACTGCTGAATTTATATTCTATCACTATATTCTATGTATTAGGTCTTTGTCTCATTTGTTTTTTATTAGCCGTTCTGATTGGCTTAAATATTTTGTTGTGAAATAGAATAAATTTGTTAATAATTATCTATCAAAATAATAATAATACATTATAACTCATAATTACATATGAAGTAGAATAGCAAAATTGTAATATACAAGTAGGGGTGTTCACGGTCCGGATAGGTCCGGTTTTAGCCCAAACCATGACCAAACCGTACCTAACGGTTAATTTTTTTTCTTGTCCATAACCGGACCGGTTTTATTTTTAACCGACCACAATCCAGATCGCATTGGAAGGTCCGGTTTGGCGGTTAACCGATTAAATCCAAAATCCTTGTTTTGGGCCTTCAATTTTTATTTTTTTTATTTTGAGCTTAATTTTTATTTTTCAATTTTGGGCCCAAAAGAGATAATTTGTGCCTAAAAATTGAGAAAAACAACAATAATGAAATAAAAAATACACAATTCGTCCCATAAGCATAAAAATACACATTTCGTCCCATAAACATAAAAATACAAAAATGATGAAGACTAAATTATGCAAACTGAACCCAAACAATAATTCATTTTTCAGTCAGTTTATACACCTGATATAATAAGATCAAAGCATTCATAGTGCATGTATTGTATTTGTCGGCCATAGTAAATGACTGAATGGATATATATATTTGTTATAGTTTTTAAATATTTACCGGTCCGGTCCGGTTAAACCGGCGGTTTGCCGCAGGTAATCCGTTAACCAGACCGGTTATTCCCGATTTTTTAAAAAATTAACCACCGGATTTTTTAAGGTTTTTTTAACTGACCATTTAACCGATTAGCGGTCCAGATTGACGGTTTTTTTCAGTTAAAACCGGACCGTGAACACCCCTATATACAAGGAATCATGATACATACTCCTTACCTTTCTAAAAACATATACACCACCCAACCCAAGTTAAACGGACTAATCCTAGCGGTTTTCGAGCTAGCCCTAACGGAATTTGGGCTAAACAGTCCGAGCTTAAAAAGCTTGGATTTAAACGGGCTACCAATAAAAAAGTCTAACTCTATTTTTTTTCGGACTAAACGGGCAAGAACCATTTTTTGTGACTACGTTGCTGATTTTGTTTAATTACAAAATGGTCCAACATGTTATACCATATATGCAAATTTTCGACTCGATTTCTTCGCGAACGCTCTCATTGGGGTTTGGGATATTATTTTAGCTGGAGATTTTTCTTTAACTTTGGGGAGGAAATAGGAATGGCGGATCAGCTTACCGACGATCAGATCTCTGAATTCAAGGAAGCATTCTCTCTATTCGACAAGGATGGCGACGGTCGGTTCCATTCTTACAACACGAGCAATTAATTTTTTCTATTTATTATTGTTTCTGTGTGTTTTCTGTGGATTTTGTTGGCTGCTTTTTACTTGAACCCTATCTGTATGGATCTACTACTACTTTCGCCGCTGTAATTTCTTATGCTTTTTTTCTAGCTGCTCAGAGTTCTTTAGTTATTATTTGCATATGATCTGTATTCATTTTGTTATTGTGAATTTGTGATGCAGAATAGACCTATTAGTCGTAGTGCTTTTTCCTTTTGGTAATCTTGTTTAGCTGTCTTGTGTTGGGAATTGGATATGTTTTTGGTTCTCAAAAGGATTTGGAGACCGATTGTTTATCGAGTCCGTGTAAGCCATTATTATGTACTCGGAAACTATGGCATGTCATAGAAGATCCAGAGGTTGTTAACTTGGTTTGCTCGTGAATTTCTGTTATCAACAGTGTTACATTTGTTTGTCTTGATACAATCACATTGAAGATGTCTTACATATATTCGGATGATTATGTTTGACGATTGCCTGATATGGGATGAGTGTGGGATGTGATTGGATTTGACATCTCTCTAATACTGCAGTTAATGTGGTGTATAGTTGTAACTAGAATCATATGATTTATTTGGTAGAACATTTAACTTTTCTTTACAAATAGTATGATTAATTTCGGCTAAATGTGTTGGATTTTGTTTGAAGTTACTTTCAAATTGTCCTGTAATAAATAACAGGTAAGAGGGAACTTTGTTTAGATTGAGACTTTTTTTTATCAAATCTAAGTAATCGTCTATGGATCTCGAAGTTCATTGAATTGGTAAATGTTGACCATTCTTTGATAGCTGCGAGTAGTTGTTCATATATGTAACTGAAACCATATGTCGTTGGTTCTTAAAATGCTTTAAATATTCTTTACTGGAATTGCAATCACTTTCCTCCAAAGCTCCATTAGGTTTCCTGAAGTTGTAACAAAGTAAGTTATGTATGTAGGCTGACATCTTTTACTAACTCCCAAGTGACTGTTTACAGATTTCAAACTCATCGAAATCTGGTACATATCTGATTGAAAAAAAGTTGCGCAAACATTAGTTTGCCACTCT